TAGGAACCGTCTCTCCTCCGACCCCACCCCAGGGCCAAACGGTGGCTGCGCCCCGAGCCCGGCTCTGCTGGCAGGGGAGAGCCGGGGGTCTAGTCCACCGCAGCCCCTGGGAGGCCTCGGCCCCGGCCGCTGCCCTGAGGGCCCACGCGCCCACCGCCCACCCAGACCTGGCCTGGCCTGGTCCCTCCAGCCCCTGAGGGAAGAGCCGTGTCCCCAGCCTCACCCCCGCCCCCCGCGCTGACCCTGGGGGCGGCTCCTGCCCCCACCCCAGCAGGAACCACCAGAGACCGCCCCCAGCGTGCTTTCAGCTTATTCCTTTAATAAGGAGATGCCGCTTATGACAAAAGAACATGTTGACAAGAGATGAGACAAGAACAGGGTCCCCGGGGTGGGGGTGGGGGGGCTGGACATGGGTCCTTCCTGGGACAGCGGAGGCAGGGGTCCTGGTGGGGCTGCGCGTGCCAGGGGGCCTGGGGCCTGCCCGCTGTGCTCTTACACTTTTCAGACCCCAGGATTTCAGAAGCAGCGGATCCCGCCCTCGGAGAGGAGGCGCCAGGGCAGAACGTCTGGCTTCTCAGAAGGGGTCCTGGGGTCCCGATGGCTGAGTGGGGCCCTGCGCACCCCCGGCTCCCGCCACCCCCCACCACAAGGGGCCTGGCTCGTAGCGCACAGGGCCCACCTGCACAGGGCCCACCTGCAGCCTCGTCGGCGCTCCTGTCAGTCAGTCAGACCCCCTGCATTTCCCCCTCCTCCCATCAGGGCTGGCCGGAGGGGTCGCTCCCGTGCGTGGCGTTCCTCTGCACCGGGGCCTGCGGCTACTGTCCCTCCTGCTCCAGCGAGATGGCTCGGGACCTGGGGCCCCCCAGCCCCCCTTCCACCTCCCGCCCTCCCACGGGACACCTGGCCAGGGCTGGGCCGGGGCGCTGGCGAGGGTCCCTCGTAGCCAGAGGAGAGAGCATGCGGGGGAGCTTGGCCTACTGTGCCCTCCACCCCCCGGGGTCCCTCCCCACTGCCACCCTCGGCCCCCCAAGTCCCCAGTGTCACGTGAGCAGGGCTGGTTGTCCACCCGGGCGGCATCGGGGACCTGACCACAGACCCGGCCGCCGACAGCTCCTGAGAACCCTCGTAGCCTGCACGGGGTCCCCCCATGGCCCATCCACCCCGCCACGTGGAGTCGGACCGCAACACCGGGTGAGGGAGCCGGGCCAGCGGGGGCATCTGCTGGGGCCCCAGTGGGAGACCTGGACACCATCCGTCCTCGCAACGTGGGGCTGGGAGCAGAGGTGACGACGGGCGAGCCCTTCACGAGTGTCCTGAGGGGAGCCCGTCAGAGGGGCACGGGAGCTCTGGGAGGATGGCCCCGCAGGGGCCCCTGTATGGCTTTTCAGTGAATCCAGAGAGTGGGAGGAGGGGGCACACCACACACATATAGGACACAGGGCTGGACGCGGGGCGCCGAGGGTCAGCTCTGCCCACGGTCCCCTGGTCAGACCAGGGCCAGAGGCCCAACTCCCCCCGGCGCGTGGCAGGGCAGGGGGGTCGGGGGGGGGGCGGCGGCGGGGGGAAGGACTTTACACACAAAGTCGAAGGAGCAGCTCAAGTTGTGTAAAACGGGGCTGGGGGCACTCAGCATTGCCATGCGGTTATTTACACAGAGGAGTTGAGACATGCATCTTGGTGGGACGAGACTGGGGTCGTGTTCACAGGTGACCACCCTCTCCGTGAGGCTCAAATGGCTTCAGAAGGTTCTTGTTTTGTTGTCGCTTAAAAAATATATTCTTGTGTCTTCAAGTCACAGTGTCCCCCTTCGCAATATTGCAGCTCAAAGAATGGGTAGAATCCTGGTGACCTGTCCCTGCCCCCTGAGGCTAGGGGTGAGGGCGAGGCAGAAGTGGTCGCAGGACTGGCCTGCCAGACAGAGCACGGATGGCGGGGCAACCTGAGTTTCGGGTGAGTCCCAAACAGCGCCTAGGAGGGACTGACTGACTGACACTTTGAAATTATTGGTTGTTTATCTGAAATTCAAATTTAACTTGGTGCCCTGCATTTTTATTTGCCAAATCTGGCAACCATGTTGGGGGGCTGAGGGTCACCACGATCAGGCCTGGGGACCCTCCCCTGTCTGCCACCACCCAGGACTCTGAGGCAGGAAGGGGGATGGAGCGGAGGGAGACCCAGGGACAGCCTCTCTGTGGGGCTGGGGGAAACAGAAGCCAGACACGTGGGGGGCGGGACGCCCTCCCTCCCCAACGCCAGGGGCGGCCCCCCCAGTTCGCTCACCCACCACCTCCCACTGCAGGGCTGGCGGGGGAGCTGCAGCGTCCCCACCCCCACCCCTCGCTGAAGCCCCGGGCCAGCAAGACCATCTCACACCGACCCTAGAAGCACAAGCTACACATGGTTCCTGGGAAGTAAAAGGACCAGGCCTGAGGCTGCGTGAATCCCTGCTGTCCCTTCCCCCAGCCGAGGGACCCGGGAACGTCACTTCCCCTCCGGCCCGGCGCCGGCCGCTCATCATCTGGGGCTTCCCCCAGCTTCCCCCAGCCCTCAGCTTGCGGCCAAGGTCCGAAAACGTGCCCAGAGCCCTGGCGGAGTTGGTTCCACTCTAGAATGATTATTCAAGGAGAAAGGAGGAAACAGAGCTTTCTGGCCTCCCCTCCGTTTCCTGGGTGGCACTGGGCTTCGTTTCTCGTGGTTTCAGTGTCTTTGTAAAAATCGCCTCTTCTGCTTTCCTCTCTGCAATAGACTTTGGGAGTGAAAACGCGCAGCCTGGAGGCCTCCGGAACCCCTCGTAGCCGACCTTAATTCTGTCCCACTCAGGGCAGGAGCCCGACACCCCAGAAACAAGCCTGGTGGCAGTGAAGCTGCTCTGTGGACTGGGTGAGGACCCTCAGGTGCAGGACCCTTAGGACCAGCGTTGTTTCCCCACCTAGTCTGTGGGCCCGGTAGATGCCTTCTGCTCAGACGGCTCCTCTGAGGCAGGGGCCCAGCCAGGACCGGCCAGAACCCAGGAGAGCACTGCTCCCCTCCCACGTCCCCTCGGCTCCGCACTGGTGCCCACACACTCAAGCTCCCTGCCCCTGAGGCTGCCCACTCGAGGTGGGCCCAGAGCTGTAATCCAGCCGCGTCTCCGGGCCCAGGACCCCCAGAGCAGCAGACGTGCTGCGGAGCCTCTCTCCTTCCCACCGGGAGAGAGGCGAGTCCTGGGCTCGGGAGGGTGGACGAGAATCCCAGATGGTGGAAGGTGGTCGGGAAGGGGTGGGAGAGTGAAGGTGGAGGGTGAGAAGTCAGCTCTGTGGGCCCGGGGGAGGCTGGGTGGCGGTGGGGGGGG